GGTGCCCTCCGGGGAGCCTCCGGGGGGCCCAAAAGTGCCCCGGGGGGCCCGAGTGCCGCTGGAGATCCCGAGAGCCTCCAGGGAGCCTGAGTGCCTCTGGTGGGCCGCAGAGCCTCGGGGGATCCCAGGTGCCTCGGGCAGCCCAAGAGCCGTATCCCAGGCCGGAGGTGCAGCCCCTTCTGCTTTGCAGCAGTTGGACGTTTGAGAAATGCACGTTGTCAGAGAGGTGGCCCAGACTCACGACTGCTTCTCCGTGTGTCTCCTTTCTCAGGGAAAAAGGTCTTTTCTGCCTTTTGTCGCTGTCTCTGAAGGGTACTGGCTGAAGGTTTGTGCCTGGGGAGGCAACGGTGGTGGGGAGGTTTTGCAGGACCTTGCAAGGAAGTGGTCAGCCCAGGCCGTAACGGCAGTTACGGTCCCAGGCTGATTCCCAAGTAGATCCTGGCAGCTTCCTGAAACCAAGCCAGACGCTCAACTGACTGAGAAATTGTTCACAAGACCCTTTCAAGTCATTTAATTGAATTCACTACGCATTCATGATGTACGCAAGTCACAACACCTTATGTGAACCATACAAAGAGGCAGAACAGCCTCAGCCTTGTTTCTAACATATCACCCGCATACCACCACCAGAGCTGTATGTATGTTGACAGTCAAAGCAAATGTCAAAAAAATAATAAAATTAAATTTAAAAAATGAACTGTGTAGCCTAAAAGGTTATTATTTATTCCTCCAGATGAGATTTGGAGTACCTTGTGGACAGCTTGCCGGTGGAAGGCAGCGTCCTCTCAGATTCGTGCCTGGGGATTTGTCACAAGTAGTAGATTCTTGGTAGCTACAAAGGGCTGTTAATGAGTAACGTTTCTATCAGGTGGATTTTTGTACTGTGTAATTTTTGTTTCTGTCAAGTGGATTTTATGATGGGCATGATTAAACATTGCATGTCAACACTGACTTGCCTTCAGGAAAATGTCAAGGTTTCCACAGAGCGTGAAGCTAGACAAAGTTAAGTTTGTCAGTTTCTGTGCTCCACAATTTGGTATTACCTTTTTATCCTTCATTAATTTCTGTTCCAGTTATCTCATTATGACAAAACAGGAGGAAGGTTTGCTAGATTTGATGGAGTACATGGCTGGATAGTTGTAAGATGGCCTTGACTCTGGCCTTGACTTTAAAGATCGAGCAAATGCAGTGAGGCTACCAACTCTCTATGTAGACTTGTGAAGCAGTAGCCTCCTCTTGAATTCAAGAGTTTCACCTACCACCAAATTTGTATTTGTTTCTTCATCTGTGATCTATGCCTTTGTTGACAGAAGTTACCTTCTCTTTATGCAAAGGCTGCCAAAATAAACTCACTGTATAACAGGACACAGCTGATGATGCATTACTGAGATGGAGTCTACTATAAATCTCAGTTGAAGAGATATTCAGAAATAATTTGAGCAGAAGATAGGTAAAGTGTTTATGATTAAGGTGCCATACTGAAATCTAGGTTAAACTCCTGGATCTGTCAGAGGTTTTGTATGTGTCCTCGGGCAAGTTTCTTAATCTCTCTTGAGCCTGATAGAAGTACTTTCTTCCTCACTCTGTCTACATGGTCTACTCTAAGCTTTTAGGCCAGAGGACTCCCGTCATGAGTATAGATGGGTTCCTGTCTCTGTGGTGTTGCTACTATAATCTAAGTAATAACAGTGATCGCCCTGGAGGGCCAAATCCTGCAGTTCTTACATGACCGCAGTGAGCTTCAGAGGTCCTTAAACAAAGTAGTATTTGCTCCTCTAGGTCCCGTGTGCTGCGCCTTTGGCTCTAAGTCATTATTATTATTATTTCGATTATTATTTGGTACATGTTTTTTCTATTCAAAGGTTTTGAAATAATGTCAGAGCACTGTTGCAGCCTACTCTTGTGATGCTTTTGTAGTGTGGTGTTGAAGGTGTTTGGTTTGTGCCATGGTTCAGATGGAGGCATACAGGAGATGATGTGGGATGGAAGGAGCGGTTTCATCAGTGCTACTTTTTTGGATGAAGTCACTGAAGTGAACTGTCCCCCAAACTGCTCTGGGGCATAGTTTTGAAAAGAGCTAGGTGGACCTGGCAAGGGCTAGGGAGCAAGTTAATGGTAAACCAGTGGGCCCGCTGCTCAAGTTTGCTCCCTGACCATCTTTGGTTACAATATAGCACATCTGTGTATAGACCAGTGTGGACTGAGTTGACAGAGGAAATGAACGCTTTGCTGGCAGACCACACCTCGGGTTCTAATGACGGCCCTGATCTTATGCATGCTGCCTCATACCATATCAGGAGCATACAGCTATTTGTAAATCTTTTAAAAGCACAGCGAAAAATTGAAAGCCGTTCCTAGATACTTGGGAATCTCAAAAAAACAGGAATGGGCTTTTCTTTTGACAAGCTGCATCTGATGGTATACAAGCAAATGTGAACACCCATTAACTCTGAAAGACAAACATTAAAAATAAGATCTACTTTCAAAAGATGAATTGTGATGTCCTGCATGGCTTACTTGTCCAACAAATGCCAGCGATGGTTCGGGGAAGTTGATTTTCACACAAACACAAACATATTGCAATGCAGCATGAAATACCACTTCCTCAAGTGTATTGAGCTCTCAGCGAAGTAACCATGAGGTTCCCAGTGGGACAGTGTGTTTTTTCTGCTCATTGCTTGTCTGCACTAAAAGCGTGGTAGAAGCTGGTAGATCTCTCTTCACCTGGAGAGCCCCATCTCTTCATGAAATTAAATGCATATTGGGGGCGTTCTTTGGAAAAAGGCTGGTTGTTTTATACCACCCCTCTCTACCTCCCTTTCTTTTTCTCCTTCCCTTTGTGGCGCTCTGTGAGGAACAGGAGAGTGTGACCTTTGCAGTGAGCACATCTGTGCAGCTGCAGGCCCAACCTGAGCTGCAGACCCCCGCTTTGGGCTTTCCCTCCTTGCTGCCACAGCACATGCCGCAGCACATCCTCTGCTTACGCTCGACCCCTTTTATGCTTCCTTGGTGCCAGCCCTTGATAGCTTCCAGGCATGGGTTGGGTTAGAAGACTTTCGATTTTGCTGTCCCATTTTCGCAGAAATAAACAGTGACCTGTTGGACTTTCACGTGTTCTTATTACTGACCTATTAGTTTCCAGGATGGCGTTTTTTGCCTCTTTTCTCCTTTGTATAGTGCCCTCTCGTGGTCACTCTGAATAATACCTTTATCTAGCCACAGCAAACAAAACCTGCCGGCTCCATCGGTCACGGGGTCCTTCTCCCATGAAAAAAGGACACAGAAGTCCGAACTGCCAGCCTCGGTATAACTCACATGACTGTGCACTGCCATATACACTGAAAATACTACAGAAACGTAGTAATCGTGTATTTCATAACGTATTTTAAAAATATACATCAGTTTTGGTCTTATGTAACGCTCAACGTCCGTATTCTTTGTTGGTCATCGAATCCAGTCTCATTCCTAATATTCACTCGCAAAAATAATCTATCATTAGCATTAGTGTGGGAGAAGAAATGAAATATATGGTCTGTATATCAATATATATGTGCTGCTGTGTGAAAATAACTACAGTATAAAGGACAGACGTCTGATTCTGCCACAAAATACTCTTTTAGTAAGCCTGATTAATAAAAGCGATGCTTTTGCAGATGCATAAAGAAGAAGATTCCTTGTCCCAAATATTTCAGTCTAAGTTAGATGCCTAGGAGGAGATAGGCAGATGACTTGTCCGGGGGACGGTATCATGTTAAGATAACTCCCTAACAATTCAGTTTCCATAAGGACGCAACGAATATTTGCTCTAGGTGCAGGTAATAATACCACAAGTCAGCTTTCCACACTTAACAAAATAGGCCTGAAAATCATGAGATAAAAACATTCCAGATCTTATTTGGTTTCTGGTTTGTAGGCTTCAGGGTGCACCCAGATCGTGTTCTCAGGCTTTGCTCTGCAGCTGCTGGGGACAGAAATTAAAGAAGTGACAGCTGATATTTGCATGCAAAGCCCCAGGTCCCAAAGGCTTAACAAACCTGTAGGTGCTTTTCTTTTCTCTCCTTTCTCCAAGAGCCCAATGGGCAAGATACTAAGGGCAAGCTGGCTGCTTCTAGTCTCTCCTGGACAGCATGTCAGATTGCTGGCAGGTCCGAAAGGGACTGGCAGTGCCTGTTTGAAGACTCAGCAGCAACAAGGCATGAAGCTAGGGGAGACAGAGGTGGAGCTGCTGCCCTTTATCTTCGAGGCAACTCCTCCCTCTGCAGAGAGCAGAGGCAGACAGTCCCCAAGCAGGTGTCTTTGCTGTCAGCCTTGGGGCTGTCAAGCGCAGGCTCCGGCTCAGTGCGGAGGTGCATCTCTACCGCTGAAGCAGCACAGGGGCCCAGGTGAAACAGCTGAGACAAGAGGAGCAAGGAAACATGGAGCCAACTACGTAAAAGAAACAGCAGGTAGGGGGTTGTGGCATGAGTAGCTGATACATTTCCAGGTCCAAAAAATGAATAGTTGGGAGTTGTAGCACAACAGCTATGGATAAATAGAAAATTTATGTTAAAGGGCAGAAGAGCTCTGAATTTTTTAATTACTTGATTTTATTTAGGATATTCTTCTATTGCATATGATTCTCCTTGTTATCACTACATTCAGTAGTCTTGTGTGGTTTTAATTTATTAATCCCTGAGAAAAAGAAGAATACTATTGTCTTCCTTTCCAAATGATGCATAGAAAATAGCAGAGAAACTGAGCAACTGAATAGGGAATTCAACCTAGATCACTGCTTAGCAGCCTACCAGCTAGGTCATCTTTCTAGAAGTAACTTTAGCAATGTTGTATGAGGATTTTTTTTTAGTAGGAAGAATGGAAAAAATTTAATTACCAGTTCCAAAACATATCTTGGACATCAGCCACCATTTATGAATGGGAACTGAAAAAAAAGGGGAGGGGGGGAAATGCCATGCAGATTTTGGGAGAGAAGGAGAGTATAGCACTTATTCCCTCTATTTTAATTTGTTGTGTTTATTTCCAGGTAGAATTCTGTTTTTGATTGTGTATTTAGATTTATTCTTATAGATCAATGGCAGTGAGAAGAGATGGCAGCAAAGCAAGGGTTTGTTGATGGAAAGCAAAATAAATTAACTGGGAGACGTGCTTAGCACCACTCTGCTTCTCTCTTTGGTGACCCATTAACAACAAATAATTCTTGTGGGAAAGGTGAATCCTCTCCTTACTTGGTTCTACTCCGTCTCTACAGTAAATCATTTGGAGGTAGTTACTTGTTACAGGAATGCAACTGTTCTTACTGCCTTACGGCAGATCATTTACTGAGTTCATCATTTGTTGTAGCTAATCCTTTGCTGTGTTTTGTTGGCTGACATTTGCTCTCAAGGGTTTGACAGTAGAAGCTGAGAATGAAATGCTGTGTAGGAAATGCATATATTTCCCCTTTTTTCCATACTTATCACCTTATAACTTTATTGCCAAGGTGCAGCCATAGACAGCCTCCTCTTAGTGCTTTAGTTATTCTGACTTGCTTACAGTTGGAGGGATCTGATGTTGCAGCCTTTATTCCTGAGAGCAGCTTTGGCACATTCACAGAAGTAGTTTGACTAACCCTCTTGCGGCCTCTTGGATGACTAAGAATAACTTCTTGAGTGTTAGAGATTTGGATTAGGGCCCCAACTCCTTATAATCAGAAAGGATTTTCAGAAACAACACCAGAGTGTCCATAAACTCCGTGGTTGAAGAGAGAATACCAGGGCACCACCGCATGGGTATATCGTGGTTTCATTGGAGTTCCCTCCCTGAACAAAGCATTAATAAAGAAATTCTTTCATGAGAGATACTCCACCCAGGATGTTTCAGGGTATGATTGCCCTGTTGTGTTTTGTTTGTGAAGGAGATACTATTATTATTTACTACTGATACTGTGCCACTGGCATGTTTAGTGGTTTGTAAACACTTACGAAAACAGGTCCTTGAAGCCCTGAAGTGCTAATATGCTAAATAACTCTGAATAAAAACAAAACTGACAGGAAAGCCTGTGATTTAAAAACCTTTCCTCGGTTTGGTGAACAATTGCTATTATAACTAATCCCACTGCGGGATTCCCGTTGTTTGAGTGGGATTGCTTTCTGTAACCAAAGGCAGTTGGTTTAGTTGTGTATCAAGTTACTGCCACGTTTTTTCCTCGTTGCTACTTTCAAATAACAACATATTGTGATGGGGCCTGAAGTAAAGGATTGTGACTTTAAATGAGTTGAGAAAGGTTGGGAGGTTTACAATCTGCTGTGCAGTTGCAGGAGAAGCCCCAGAGAAGCATGCCATTTTTTATTTCAGTTTTAGCAGTGTAGACCTGGACTAACTAAACTTAAGCCCATTGTGTAACTCCAGTTTTACCTTATAGAGAGTGAGAGCAGAATGGGGACCAGCACCGCTGCCAATTCTTTGATTCTGTCTTTTCAGAATAATCTTCTTTAAGTGTTATAAAAGGTCAGTCTTTTGCTTGAAAGCTTTGTCTTTATTTGTGCTTGATAGTAGTGGAGTTCCTATAGCATATATGAAGCCAGGGTTCAGCCCAGGAAGGTCCTTGCTGAGGCCACTGGCTTTCTTCTCAACTACTTTCTTCACAGCCACCAGCTGTGCTCTGCCCAAGTTGGCCCTGAGCCCTGGCAGCCAAACCCCCAGGAGGAGGAAGGATGTGCTCAGGGCACTTTCACTCATGCTGATTCAAACGCAGGCGTTGTGCCAGTCTTCATACTGAAGTTTGTATTTATAAGTGACAAAATGTTTTAAAAATGAAATTCATAATGATTATTATTTTTATTGCCTAGCCCACTTGCTGATTTCACTAGGGACCCACAAAGGAAGATATTTATTGAAACGGATGACGCTTAAGCCAAGGCTTATCTTGAAGCCTGTGGGTAGGTATTGTCTTAGTCCAAGCTAACAGAGAAAGAGGTATTAATTGGGCTTTGTCTTCATAGATAATTTGTCAAAGCTCCAAGAATAAGTTGTTGAGGTCAGTTATAACAGTACAAGCCAGCATTAACGGGTATTCTGTGTGCCCTTAATCTCGAATAAAAGAGATACTGTGTAGACAGTCCATAGGGAGAGTTTTTCTGGAACAGTTAATGCAGAATGCCTTATTTTGTTATTTTTTTCCGTGGAGCTGTGACCCCTTTAAGGGTTCGTGTACCTTGCAGGAAGTCTGTGTACTTCCCAGGTTTGAACTTAGTAGTTGTAATGTTTCTATGTCTCCAATACCTTCTGTCTCCTTCTCAGTTCAAATGCAGGAGTTAAAATAATAATTGACATTAGTGGGAATTGGAAACGCCCATCAGGTGGAGGACAGCAGCTACCTACTAAGCAGGCAAAGAGTCAGGACCCGAAGGTAGGGCAGGTGCGTGAAGATAGCTATCTGAAATGCTGAAAACAACAGCAAAGCCTGGTCACTCTTGCTTTAGCTCAGCTTTCTTACATATGTCTTTTAAAGCTGCTTGAAGCTCCAGTGGCATTATGCAGTGGAGTCACTGGTACTCCAGAAGGCACTACTAGTGAAGGGCAGTGTGCTTTGCCTGTCACTACTTTGAAGAAGGATCTGTGTCAGTCTGCAATGAGCAGCCTTGGCAGGTCCTCCAAAATGTTTTCACGTACTGACAGCTTCTACAGACTCTGTCATGACCACTTCGGATCCTTGCACATATCTCACAAATATTAATTTGGGTACGTCAGGAACTCAAAAAAGCGTAGCACGGAAACACGTCCGATTCATAGTGGCTGGACATCACTCCTGGAATTGGCCCAGCTCCATTCAGGTTATACGTGCCTTGTAGTCCTGTCCGTGTCTGCAGCACATACTGAAATACACGCCTAAGCAAGGGTCATGGCGAGATTTCGCCTTCCCATTGTGAAGCCTGAGGTGCTGTAGTTTTGGTGCTTTTCATTCCTGAGGTACTTTAGATTAAATCTGTCTTAGGTCTATCTAGGTGTGCTGCACTTGCACCTCCTGTGAATGTGGCTCTTAGAGAAACCTGTCTGACGGCTGGGAACTGTTAGATAGGGGGACTGGAGCATCTCTCAGATGAGGAAAGGCTGAGAGAGCTGGGCCTGTTCAGCCTGGAGAAGAGAGGACTGAGGGGGGATCTGATCGATGTGTACAAGTATCTGAAGGGAGGGTGTCAAGAGGATGGGGCCAGACTCTTCTCTGTGGTGCCCAGCGACAGGGCAGGAGGCAACAGGCACCAACGGAAACACAGGCAGTTCCACCTGAACAGGAGGAGAAACTTCTGTGCTGTGAGGGTGTCAGAGCAGTGGAACACATTACCCAGAGAGGTAGTGGAGTCTCCTTCGCTGGAGATATTCAAAACCCACCTAGATGTGATCCTGGGCAATGTGCTCTAGAGGACCCTGCTTGAGCAGGGAGGTTGGACTAGATGATCTCCAGAGGTCCCTTCCAACCTCAACCATTCTGTGATTCTGTGAACAAAGCTTAGTGGACTGTATGTCAAAACTTCAGCTGACGTTAATTGATTTGTGTCAGATGCATATGGATTTTGACAGTATTTGAAAAACCTCGCATGTATCCATCTTCTTTTCTCCTTTAAAATTTAGTTTTTGCCAATAGTTTATGTGTACAGGATTTAATCATCCTTTAAAATCTCTTTACTCTCTAAATCTCATTTTCTAATTGAGTGGAGTTTGGCCAAATGGAGTTTTGAGCTTTGGGCACACAGACTGTATTTTTTCCTGTGTTCCGTAACTCTTATACAGGGTTATATAGTCTAGGGACAGACCTTAGTTCTACCTTTCCTGTACTTGTCTTAAATTTAAAAATGAGTTAATTTCCTAGTGCTGACAGTCTGAAACTTTCCATGACTTACAGAATTCATGTGAGAAATGCATTAAATAAAGTAGGAAAAAAATTAGTAACTTTTCCTGAAGGTTTCTGCATCTAAATGTTCACATGACATTTATTTCCAATCATTCTTTGCTGCTAGATTATCATGTTAACACCATTAAATATAATAAGCTCTATTTAAATGTCTGCATCAGGAACTACACTTTTTGGATCAGTTCTTATCTCAAAAATAAATAGTATGTGTATTAGTACCATACTAGCTGTGACCAAACACATCAATACATAACTAAAGCTAAGAGTAAGTGATGAAAAGAAAAGTGCACTCTATTTGTACTTTATTGTATGTAAATTGCAGTTTCATTTGTGGTCAGAATAATAAAGAAATCCCAATACTTCTGCTTGCTGCAGCTTTGTATGTCCAGATGTAGAGGCCCAAGTGCAGAGAGCTGCTGCCTAGGAAGGCTGCAGCAGCCTGACTGGGGACTCTGCGTTCTGCTCCCTTCTGCATGGGGATTTCCATGATCTCAAACCGTTCATTTGGTCCTGGGGCGTCTCTGTTTCCACGTCTTCGTCTTGGATGGAGGTGGCACTTCCATCTCTTTGGAAGAATTGTGATAAATTATGAGATGCTGAACTGCTATGGCCGAAGATCCACCTAAGCATATAAGCATTATGTTTCCAGAGGAAAAACATCTAGTGTCTACTTTCAGATTTTACATCGATGCTAATAACTGCTTTCCCTAATATGAAGTAATGTAAGCACAGCTTTTGCACTATTACAGTAACACATAAACTGTATGTACATACATTGTGACGTTATGTTACTTCTGTTGAGCAGAATCTTGCTTCAGCTTCAGCCATGTGTGTGTGTGACTGCACGGTTACATGAGATTGCAAAGGTGTATTTTGAGAGCCTTAGGATTCAAGCTTAGCTCTGTGCAAAGAAATACCTAAGTGCATTTACAGCCTGCACGTTTTAGAGCTCCGTCCAGGTCCATGGGCCATCCCACACAAACCTGCTTGTAGAGACCTTGGTCTTTACGTGAAACCTATTCCCATCGTTCAGAGGTTGCCCCTGGCCTGTTTCTGTTTCCTTGTTTTTTTCTCTTATACTGTTAACTAGGAAAGGTTTTGTATAAAGCAAGCCGTGCAGTAGTATGAGGAATGCCATCAGTGTGGTATGTCTTTGAAAGGCAGTTCAATTTGTAATATATGGCTGACCTGTATATTGCTTGCACAGAGGGCTGTCTCTAAGCGTGCTATCAGTATTTATAAAAGAAATGACAATCAACTGGCAGGTCTACTTTGGAAGAGTAAATAGGTCTGCTGTTAATCATTAGCTTCAGACTTACTGGGAAACCTAAGAAGGCCTGAAGCTCAGCCTTCCAACCCATCAGCACCAGGTACTCGAGCAGAGTTGCCTTGGATTTCCAGACATCTAGTAGGCGGGCCTACTGGGCTGGTTGCACGTGCTCAAGTACATTGATTTATGTAGTTGCAAAAGTTCAGAAATCTGAGGTTCACATATATGTGTGGCACACAGGATATATCTCCCTATTTCTGAATAGGATTTCCCAGACAGAAATTTAGGAGCCCAGAACTTACTCCTGACATGTGATGTTTTTGGACTGAGACTACATCCACCCCTGCAAAACAAATCAGAATCTTTCCATGCAGAATTATACCCCTTCCACGTATTAGTATCTACTAATGCTAATAGAAATTCCTATTAATGAAGTCATCTCAGTAGAGATATTAATTGCTACTAGTCAGAAGTTATGTGGCACACTTTAATGATGAAAGATAGTCTTCCTCTCCATTGCATCATTCATTTGTTTTGCTGTTACTGGATAGTATTGGTAGGTAGCTTGTGAGTATTGACAGCGTAATAAAGTGCAGTACATGCTTTACGCTGCACATGGGATTTTGACCTATCATTTATAGCCTGTGCAGAGAGATTGTAAATCTGTAAAACATTCTCACATTTAGAGCTTTCCCCTATGTTGCACTCCCAGTAGAGGACAAGGCAGGGAATCCAGCCCACTAGCTGGAGAGTCCCTGGCCGTTGGGACGTTACTAGTGGTATTTTAACTTCGTTCGCTCTTGTTGATCAGCTGCCTAAAGGACTAAAAGCTTTCATATTCTAACTGTTTATAAGCACAGTAAGAAAATGTATACTTATAACCTTGTTTATTTGTTCCAGTGGGGCTGAAATAATATTTTAATTGTTAAAGCCAGGGTGGCTGCTAAGGGAAAGGTTTATTGTAACAGCAATGTTTTGTGACTTTTTTACAGCTTGAGGTGGGTGCTTAATACATTCTTAGCTCCTGTGAGCTCAGTTTGCTGTGCTTCGTGCTTTAAAAATCGTAACTTTGCGGAAACAGTCATTGAGCTCTTGATTTCTGAGCTTTCACTGAGAACTCTGGATTCCTGAGCTGCCGGAGCAGACCGAATGTATGCGGTTGCCACGAGAAGGAGCTTTGTCCTTGCCCTGGCAGCTCCTTACAAGATTTCATAGTTGCCTAGGTCAGAAGCAAGTGTCATCCTGTGCTCTCGCCTGGGGGAACAGCCAAGGGTTCGAAGGGGAAATGGAGTGTTGGACTCGGTGAAGGAAAACAGCAGCTAGAATAAGAAGTCTGTAGTAGGGAAATTCATTGTATATAGTTTAATATAAGGAGTTAATGCTTTGGGGAAAGCCAGAGGTGATTTTAGCCACAGCACAGAGGGAGCTTAAGCTAAAAAACTGTTAGACACCGAAGACGGTATGAGTTACAGAGTGGAAAGGTGTTCATCACACAGTGGGAGTCTAGTGATAATGTTTCACGTATGTTGATAAAATCTCATTGCCTTTGTGGATTGAGTGTAATGAAAGTACACATCGCTGCTGTTAGGCTTTCTCGGAGCAAGTGGTCAGTTTTAAGTTAAGTGGGTAAAACCCTTGAGCGGAGGTAATGCAGCACTGCGCTTTGTTTGCGGTCAGTGTCTATGTGCGATGAGAGGCTGCTGCTCGTCCTCTGTGAGGTTCCACAAGAACTGTATAAATATAAATGTAATAGTGAATTAAACAAAATGACTGAGTCAGATTTTGTGATTTTTCTACTTTTTAATTAAAAAGAAGAGAGGGGAGAAGGGACGAATTTATCCCGTGAGCAGATAGGGTGGAGCTTCGGGAGGGGGAGAGCCCGCATATTCCCTGCTGTATCCCTGACGCACGCACGTGGCAGGGCTTAACCTTGCTCCCTGACATCTAGTGTCAGTAGAGTGCTCTGGGGACGAAATGACATGAACTGTTTGTAGCTATCTGCTTAAGTAACGCTACTTGCTGCTTGAAAGTGTACTGGAAGGTGGGTATCAAGATTATGTGCAGGAGTGGGATCTTTCCATGTACAGTACCTCTGTCTCGAAAAATGTACAGTGTGGGAGAAAAACCGAAGGGAAGATTAATTCTCTTTTCACTTTCTCCCCACGTCTTTCACCCGTTTTTTTATAGCTTCAGAATCCAAATATGTGGGAATAATTGTGAACTGACAACTTGATGCATTCCTCAAACTGGGATGGAAAACATATCCCGTAGAGTTCGGTGTTGGACTGTGAAATTTTTGCTGTTTACGTGAAGGTGAACCTTCCTTGGCATGTTCAGTTGTCCCTTTCCACCCAGAGGGGTCTACCGGGTGACTCCAGTGGCCTGATCGGAAGCCTGTTGAAGACAGTGAAAGTCATTTTATTAATTTCTTTGGTATTTGGGTCACAGTCAGAAGGGATCGCTGAACCGGGACACTCCTCAGGCTTTCTCGTTGGGGCATGTACGCTTTTGCCCTTACACATCTGCAGTTTTATTGCTTAGATACTGAAGCAAATATGTCTTCGGTAGGCAGCTAAGTGTGTTAATTATAAAATCAATACATAATAAAAAAATGACAGCAGTAGCGATACTAATAAAACGTATAAAGACTTAGAAAACAAATATATGTGGGGGGAGGGTAAATGAAATCTGACTGGTTGATAAGCAACTATCTAGCAGGTTAGAGTCGAGCATTATTACCAATACAACATTTTGTTAATCAAAAATAAAATAACCTCTAAGCATTTTGGCATGGGGAGGCCTTAATTTTCCAGAGAAGTATTGCATGAAATGCTTAATTTTATAAATGTGAAGGCCAAAGAAAAATAAGTGGGTTAAGGCAGTTAGATCTGTATACGCTGTCGTGGCGCATACAGCCAAAACACTAGAGTCAGTCTTCCTTCCTCTCTGATTCATATACGTGTGCATAATGTTTTAAATATAATAATGAGGCTGACCTGGTTTATTGACATTATCCAAACAGAAAACAGTGAGAAAGAAAAATAAATAAAAGATTGCTTTAATGTAAGTAAAAAAATTCCAGCTACAAAGAATGAAGACTGCCTTGGAAAATTGGCCTATTGTGTGTCTGACATACTAGGAAAGAGTATCTTGGCTCTGTGAATGCTCGTTTCTCTTCCTGCTAGGATTAACCTGCCATGGAAGCTTCCTGGGCCCCGTGGAAACCAGGACGTTGTTGTTAACTGCTGTTGCATGTTTATGTGAAAGGGTGGATAGTAATTTTTTAAAAATTACTTCAGCTGTAGTAGTCTGTGCTGTTGTCACTACTGTTTTCCCCCTTTTATAAAAAAGATGGCAGCTTAAAAGTGTGTCTTTAAATAATTTTTATAAAATTACAAGGAACATGTAAGCAAGACAATGTTCTTGCGTATGCGTTTTAGAGCTACCTGTGGCTACGATAACAGCCACAGCGTTCTAGACAATTAAGTAGTCATGTAAAGTGGGGTATAATGTCTAAAGCAGCAGGAAGGTGGTAAGGTGAAGAAGCACAAAGTTAGGAAATAAACGGTTCTTGGGTACTATTTTTTAGTATCTCAGCCTTTCCTCACTGGCAGAGTGAGGAATATAAACAGAATAAAGACCTAAGTTTGTTTTAGGTCGCTGCCTTTGCAGATCAACTTCCCTGCTGTAGCCGGTGTCGAATGCTTTTTGGCACTGCTTTATATGCAGCGCCTTCAGACAGGGAGTGCTTTGATCTGGTGAGCTGCGTCTGCTTGTCCTTCCCCAGCGGGACTCCGCACGCTTGGTGATGGCCGCGTATCTGTTCCCTTGTCTTGCACGTGGTAAGAATCATTTTGGGCCAAACGCTGCTTCTCCAGAAATCAGTGGGAGTCATAATTTTTACTTTGGCAATATGGGATTGAGTCCTCTGTCCCCTGCAAACAGCAGAAACTTCCCAAAAACTTGCTTGGCAACCCATTTTCTACTGCCTTACACGCTTGACTTCTGCTCTTCACTCAGCATGAGAATGGTAGAGAAAATAATTTTCTTCTTACAGTAGCAATAGAAGCTCCTTATTATCATAACAGGAAGTGGCAGGTAGAGACTACAGCTCTTTTGGCAAGATTTATGATAACCCACATGAAAGTCTTAACACATGCAAACGTTTAGGTTGGCTTTTCCCTAGAGATCTCTATGTAAGAAATGTTGGGACGCACTGATGCCAATAAGGAAGAGATGTTTTTAAAAACATTGCAAAAGACTCGCTCCCAAATGATTCATGCGCTGAGATGTTGTGTGGGATGATAGATGGGAAAAGCAAAGGAGGAATGTTGAGTGAGGTCACTCTGGATTGCTGCCTGCTCTCGAGTCGTCGGTATGTCAGCCTGGGAGCGGAGCTGCCTTAATCCTGCAGGATTAAGTGATGCCTGGCTCAGGGGCGCTTTCGCCAGCCGCAATCATGTTGTCTCCTCCCAAGACGAAGTGGCTCACAGTGTCTAACGTGACTCTAGAGAAACAAGTAGGAAAGAGGGATGGAGCAGGCAGGGAGGTAGGATTAGTATGTTTGGTGTAGAGGGCATGTAGGTGTTTTGACACTCCTTCAGAGCAGTGTCTCAATATGTAATTTGCCATTCGAGTAACGATAGCGCTGCCTCAAAGGCAAGGTCATGGCAATTCTGACTGCAGAGCCCACCTGCTGCTGCAGTTGTTCCTGGAGATGGGCTTTCCTTGCCGATCACAACTGTCGTTCATTGGTATCGTGAGGGGGCGCGTGGACCTGACAGGGCCGGTCTGTAGTGAGATGATGCGGTTTGGCTGGGAGTCATTGCAAATCGGAGATATTTGATAGTTGTATGATATTATACACTTATTTTGTATCGTATTCGTATGAGTCTGTACTCACATAACTGTATATATATGTAGGGTTTCTATATGTGTGTGGGTGGGTGTGTATAAATGGGCACAAGCACTGTGAAGGGTTTGTTTCGTGAGCTGGAGATGATAGCACAATTCATAAGCAGCAAATTCCCAGATAACGAGTACAGAGAGTGCCAGGCATGTGCCAGTAAAGACCTTACATGTTTGCTTACATGTCTGGGCAGGGTTTTTAATACATCTTTGCAGTGGCTGGAATGCTCGCGCCATGTCCGATATGGTAGATGCTAGAGTAAGGGGATTTTTGGTATTTTTTTCTTCTATATGGAATGCATAAATTTAAAGCAGAGAGATATTAATGTAGAAATAATGTAAGAATCACCACAGTGAGAAAATGCCTTGAAGAACTATCCTAGGAAAAATTATGCTGGAAGTTTAGTAAGATAGGGAACTCAAGTGTATTTTTGTTTTCTACCAATAGATGGCACTATACTAAACATGATTTTCACCGGTTCTGGTTGAACTGATGGCTTCCTCTTAAAAAAAAAGATTCCAAAGCTGTCCTGAGATGTAAAATGTATCTACTTTATTTAAATTATCTGTTTACATCTATGTTGATGAGACATAAAAAGATTGCAGGGATGGGTTATAAGAGATCTTTCAAGACTTCAGCAAAACGGCTATGTGCTTGTTTTCCAGGCCATCGCTGCGGCTGCAGCCACTCCCGAATACTTCATGCCTGGCTCGGCGTGCTTTCACTCCTCCTGATAGCTTGGATCCCCTGTGCTAAGGCCACATCAGTGAGGTCACGAATTTGGCACTGGAGAGCACGTTGTTCATCTCCTTCTCCTGTTTTTTATTACTGGGAAACTGTTTTCCATGCTGCAGATGGCATTTACTGTGTTTCATCACTCCCACAGTGCAGAAGTATCTGTGATGATTAACATTTTTGCTTTTGTAATGCGTAAGATTATTCCAAGTGTCTAGTACTTGGGCATGTGTTCGTCTCCTAGGGAAAGGTTCACTAACGTACCAAAAATGTCTCTGTCCTACCCTGCTATTCTTCAGATGCCATCAGATGCACAGTGGGTGCACCTGTGAACAATATACTCCATATCAATTCCAGATAGAAGTACGTACGTTTCCAGACCAGACATTTAATTTTAAGTTTGTTCTGTGAAGTAATGTTATCTCAAAGAGAGAATGAGAGATTTTTGTTTAAATTGATAAGTGAAATAATACATGGTCTCTAAGACCGTCTTTATTGCTGCGCGTGGGTTTTACCGCAGATTAAGATGAAGGATTTACGTGAAAGCCTTGTTAAAATGTTGATATTACATCTGCAGGCTGTGCACAAAGTCTTGCTCTGTTGCCATCAGAATAGGCTGGGGTGTGGATTCGCCACCTCTGCATCTGAACTTCAGGCATTTGTATATTGTAATTTGAAAACAAGTAACTTTGCATGCAGCTGCGCTATTCAGACTTCTTTGCCACTACACGTTATTCTTTTATGTCCAGATAAACAGTTCATTCCTGTGACCACTTGGTGCAAGAACAGAATCTGGTCCTGGACAACTTCTTCACTTCTAGCCACATCCATATTGCTTGCTCAGTCTTTGCATCTGCTTGGCAAAACATTCATATTCATTATAAGTTGGTTATATACATATTAAACACAGGCAAAATCACTATGCAGCAAGGAAAGAGGAAAATGTGATAAACTTGTTGAACATGTCACGTGAATACCTGTGAGCTGACTTCCACATTTATTTTTCTGCTTTACACTGGGAATGTGGGGTAGGCGTCCCACTGTCAGCACCTCAGCGAGTTTCTTGTTGAAAATCAGAACAATCTTACTACATCTGCTTAAATGAATGGATAAATCTTTCAAGAAATGCTTTGTCACAGAATTGTTTATTTTAATTGGGTTATTGACTCAACTTAATCTTACTTTCAATTAGTTTTAAGATGCGTATGAATTATTACCTCAATTTTGCAAGGAAGAAGGATACACTTATTTGAGGCAGGGAATAATGTAAGCATATGACTAGTCCAGTTAAGCTAGTCACACGATCTCTTTGATGAGCTGGATAATTCTGCTGTCAGTGAAATCTTTCGTGTGATAGCTGTGAATTGATCATGTCCCCCTGTATTCTATTTTAAAGTCATATTATTTGCAGAAATTTATTGTAAATATTTGCATGGAAAACTGGAAGAGTTCCTAATAATAAGTCCATACTATCTAAAATGAGTTAAAACTAATTTTTTTTTTTTGCCTTTATAGAAAACTTCAGAAGAGGAAGAAGTCTGAAACAGGGCTGCCGGGAGTGACTGGAGAATGGTTTGAAGAAATACAAAGAAAAAAATTTCAGAATAACACTGATGTCAATAGAATGCTGAGACAACCACTAGAGCATCAGCTACAGAAGAGCAAAAAGACCAGTGAGTTGCATTTTTCCAGTTTCTTTCCTGTATGATAATGGTCACCAAAGCAATGTCTTAGAGTATTTTAGAGTTGAATAGCTAAGGAGTTTCTTTAATTGCATTGAGTTCTTTCTCATGTAAAAGTTTTGCCAAAAATATGTTTTCAAAATGAGTATGTTTCTTTAAGCAAATTCTGCTAAAAGCATAGCTATGAGTCACAATACACAATTCTTGATACTCTTATCCTATAATTTCCGTAAGTATAGTAAATATAGTGATTGGTTCCCAATTAAAGCAATAATACTTGCTTCATACAAAAACTCTTTTTGTCTACCTAATTTTCTTAAAGGAAACAGAAGTACCTGAATGACATTTGGAATAAGCAGGTAACATGGGTTTGGGTGAAAGAGGTTTGACTGTACTGGCAGAAAACTCGCTGATAACGCTGGGCTAAAGCTGTGCCAGTGTTGATTGTGAGAGTGGCTGACACAGAGCCTGGAAAGTTCGTGTGACTGAGAAGCAGCTATTGGAGATCTCATTTCACGGATGCTGTTGCTCATCCAAAATGAATACATGCAAAAGCATGGTATCGTTGCCAAAAATGGCATACATACTTTCTTTTTCATCTTCATCCATATTTCATGCATAATATATGCTGTTATTGCATTCACATTTCTGCATGCTTTTCATTTAGCTCTTCCTGTTTGTGCATCACAGCAATGCAAAATCACGTAAAAAGAACAGTACTTCCAAAAAAAAGCGAAAGATAATTTTCTTAAAACTACAGACCTACATAAAATAGAGATCTGTTTCCTGCCCTTTTTTCTGCCGCATTCCCTCTAGTCTGCAGCTATCTACTATTTTCCTCTTTCAGAGTTGGTCTAGCTAATGCATTATCTAACTCTGTAATTGCTCTCATCTTGTATTTGACTTTTAAAGCTGCTATTTCTATTCCAGATCTGAAGAAGGGGTTGAGTGCCTCAAAGGCTTGTCTGGTATTTCCAACTGTATGAGTTGGTTTAATAAAAGGTACTGCTTCTACCCGCAAGCCCTGTCTTACCTACGTCCTTAGACCATCGTGGCTTCGGCAGAGGGTTGTTAGAACGCTCCTGCTGTCACCTCCACTACTGCCGAGTCCAACAGTACCACCAAGAGGTTAGGTTCTGCAGGGGGTAAAGGATGCAGCATCTTGTAATGCACCATGATTATCACTGACGTGAAAGCAATATATTACACATGAGTTTCAAATCACGTGACATGAATTATTCATTTTATTGAGGACGAGATCCAAAATGCTGCCTCTTGCTGTTTATATCAGTGACACTTTGCGTTCATTTCTGTTTTGTGTTCTCCTGTGGTCATTGGATAAGGCATTCTCAGGCGGTTGTATTCTTTCAGACATGTGGTTTTTAAATGAAAAAAGAAAAGATGCAGTGTCTTATTCCTGAGTGAAGTCTTATTTCCTGATATCCTCCAGTTCCTTGTGTTTTAATAGCAGAACCCACAGATCATTTCCCTAATCTGTGAGCAGTACTCATTCGCTCATTCACGCTGTTTGTTAACTGCTTTTACAGGCGGGCGAGGTTTATGTTCCATTTGAAGAAATCGAATCATAATCTTCCCAAAGAAATCATTCATTTTGCCTTTAAAATAGTGTTCTAATATGTAGTTTATAGCAGAAAAAAAGGCACTCCATTGCACCGAAGTGGCTCAGGGAATCCTATTGTAAAGAGTTCTATGATATTCAAGACACCTTAGTCTGAATTAGTTATGTACTTTTATTACAGGCCATTAAACCATTGCATATTCAGGGCTGTAGTATTTATATTTCTTACAAAAGTGAAAAGGAAGTGACTCAACAGTGTGAGTGCCTCAATTTTCAAATGTCTACTTTGCATATATTTTTAAATGGTTCTGGTTTTCAAATGATTGAGAGCTAAATGCTTTCTGAAAATCAGCCTCGTTTATCTCACACACATCACCCAAACACAAGTACTTTTTCAGACTTTAGACCTGCTTATTTTCCTCTTAGTCTTCTAGTTAGCCACTAGAAACCAGCATATCACTTAATCTGTCCAAAAATGTCAGTAAAATCGGATTTTTCTGGCATCCAAGGTAAGTGAAAGAAAATGACCTGTGAAGATTTAACTTCTCCTGTACCTGTTAATACTGTATTTAATAAGACCTTGAAACAAATCAAATTTTTGTACTATTTTTAGATCACAAAGAATTTAAAATGTCATCCTGCACAAATCCTCAAGCACAGAAGAACACTTCAGCTTCGTTTTTGGGCTTCAGATCACCTTTTGCTTGGCTTTTCTCCTTTAGAAAATCAAGGAAACATCAGACTCAGAAGCAACCACGGTGAGCTTTAATCAAAACATATGTTATTTCTAGTTTAAAAAAAAGTATATGAGTTGTTCTGTTTATTGCTTAGAAAGTCTCTTAACTTTCACCTCACCAGGAAGATGCAGAATTTATTTGGTCATGAAATGAGAGATTATCTGTTATATATCAGAAGAACAAAGACTAACTGGAAGTGGCAAGTAGTAGTTAAGAGTCTTGTGGCTAAATCTCATTTGTTCAGGTTCTGCATAAAGGCTTAAAGTGTATTAAAGTCCCTAAACTTCACAGGGGCTGCATTTTATTTATTTATTTTTTTCACAAGAGGACGGGAGTAAGGCACATGGGGATCTGGTGCCCTATGGCTGTGATACAATGGGAAAGCAGAGTTTTCCCAGGCTGTGGCAGAGAGTATAAGCCCCAGGCAGGTCTACTGCCTCAGTTCCCACCGTTTCTAGCCCAGAGGCAGGCCTGGACCTTTAGCTCTAGCCAGGCAAACACGGTGGTTTTCCAGTGCTTTTGTCTTTAGTGCTTCATCTAGGCTTTGATTTCAACTGGATCTGTACCAAAGATGGTCTCATGAGCAGGGCTGAGCTGCTGTGTTTGAAGCGAGTGTACTTCTCCCTCCCCATCCGCAGGTTAAAGCCACTCTTCAGAGGGAACTTGGGGCTACATGCAGGCTGATCAGGGTGGCTGCGTTTGCCTGACTTTTGTCCTATGTGGGTCTCTTTCCTAGGTTTTCCTTATTCTAGGAAACCTCTAGGTTTTCTAGGTTTTTCTAGGTATGTCAGCAACACCTCAATGAAATACTATTTTTTTTGTGTACGTCTTAGGGTAATGCTTGAGACTGGCATTCATTGGTAAAGGCTGCATTGTGCAGTGTTTTGAAAGCTAAGTATGAATCTGCAAGATCTATGGCACAGAGGAATTATTTTTTTTCCTTCTGTTTGTGAGTCTCATGCTGGTGTTCTGGTCCACGCCTGGGGCTCCTTGCGGTAGACACTAAGACAAGCTATTAATAAACAAAGAAGAGGAGTGCAAGCCTCTGAAGAGATGGTGATTAGTCTGGTAGGTAGGTTTTGTAGCGCAGCAGCTTGCCGGTTGTGGAGTGTTTATATCAAAGCAGAAAGAGATTTAAGGAGAGGTCTGAAGGGAAACAGGTGAACTTTGTGGATGTTTACTGGTAACAATTCTCAGACACAGAAACACAGCATAGATAAAAACCTACTTGCCAAGTTTTAACGCTGGGAAGCAGAACGTGCTCCATACACGTCATCCACTTCCTCCTTTCTCCCAGTACTCGGTATGCCTCTTGGGCTGGGACACAGAGTAGGGATGAAGGTGCATACCAGCATAGGGTTAGGAGGTCCCTCCTGCCAGGGAACCGTAGGCTGTCAGTGCAGAATAAAGGGGTACTAATGTAGCTGAGAAACAGATCTCAAGGGTGCAGTATGTTGACGTGAGATAAGGTAGCTCATACCAAAGTGAAGGTCAGGGCTTTGCTCTAGAATCTGAGCATTAACATTATTTCAGATTTTGAAAACGTAAAAAGGTAAATTTTGCATACTCATTGCATCAGCTTTTCTGAAACTTACTGATCTTGCTTTTCTACAAAAAATTTATCATATCTTAGATTTAGATGCCTTTGATTTCTTACAGAGCACAGCTTGAAAAATAAACAAATCAATCCTGACGTGTAATTGAGCTGATTGCTACATTTGCCAGTCACGCCTCTCCCTGGAAAACTTCCCCACCCTGTTTTAGGTGTTGCCGTGGCATGTGGTTTGCTTTATGCATAGACAAAGCATTGAAATGTTGTGCTTCTCATCAGGTAGAGTTATTCTGGAGAGTTAGTGAAATACAATAGGAGGCAGCACTATAAGTCATGTAAGTAAGCCTAACTGGCAGAAGCTTTAAAATAGGTAAATATTAATGGCTGTTTAGAGGGTCCTTTTTGGTACTGAAAAGACAGTTTCATCAGCTGTGGTGGTGTCCTGCTGTGAGAATAAATTATGGATGCTGCAAAAGAGAATATACTTATGTGGAGATACAGAAGATGCTAATAAGAGGTTTGTAACACTGTAGTTTGAACACTGTAGTTTGAACTTAGTGAAATGTTTGATCATTTTTGGTTCAACGTTGTTTGGTGTTCTTGAATTCGTTCTTACTCTTTTTTAATATGTAACTATGATTCATACTAGGAAAAATGCTGTCTAACTATGTTTTCAGCATACTTGAGTTATGTGTTTGTTGCTTAGCTGGCTTCTTAAGTAATACTGATAAGAACAGTATAAAAGAGAACGGATTACAATCTGACATTAGACAACTTGGCCGTGGCCTGGGGAAGACAAGTGCCGCAGCGAGAATAACCATTTGCAGCAGATTTTAACCCATAGGTTTATATTAGTAGCAGTAGTGATAGTAGTGGAGTTGTACTTTTAATCTTACATTCTGTTGCTGTCAAATAGTACATACGTATATAAATATAAATATTTAACATGTAACTTCTTGCTTTTCTAAAGGAAGTGGTATTTTTTCTGCTGGAAAATATTTTTGAACTCCAGAAATAACTTGACACCTTCTCTGTTTATGGATGATAGAGAGAGTGTGTGTGTGTGTGTGTAAACATTGCGTAATAGCCTGAAGTAAAAAAGAAACTAAATTACCTTTTCCTCAAGTTAAGAAATATTTCTCTGTAAGTGAAAGAAACCTAAATTTCGAAATGATGAAAAACTTGAAAGACTTCAGAAAAAAGAAGGAGGCGGATTAGGAGGTGGAGAGATTGGCATGGGGAGAAGATTAAAACAGCCTTGTAAAGAATAGCAGGGAGGAAGATAAAGGAGGATGCAATGACCAATTATTTTTGAAAGAACAGTGACAACAAAGACGTGGAGGAATTTAGAATAATGGCAGAGGTGAAATGAAAACTTCATTTTTGCCTAGATTGTCAGAAAACATTTCTCACTAAGATGTCGACTTCATGTAGCTTCCTTGCACAGAGCAATTAACTCTACACCAAGCACAGCATCAGGTGGGGAGAACTGCAGAGAGTAGCTTTGAACAGTAAAGCTGAGGTAGAGAGCATCTAACAGAGCTTTTGCTTTTTTGTTCAGTTTGTAAGTAAAATTGAGATAACTTTCTAAAATGCAGGATTTCACTGAACTTGGTTTGAAAGAAATCACTGCAAAAAAATCTGATATATGCATTTAATTCTAAATTTATGATGCAAGCATTAGAACATATTCAGCATTTTAAGGCAAGAGTTGCATACTTCTCTGGTTTCTGATTCCGTAAACCTCATTCACAGGGAGCAGTAACCCACTGAATTAATGGCTATTCATACTGAATGTTACAAAGAAAATATAAGAAATATGGATTCAGATTCTCTGGCCTGGTTCAAAGCCCACTGAGCTCAACAGGTTTTTTTTTTTCCATCGGTTTCAGTTGGACCCCATGTCGGAGAGGAATTTTGGTTTTAAAGTTCACAATTACAGAAGCAAAAACAAATTGCACCTTTCAACTGTTCTTCCCTGCCTGCAAGCACATTGCAAACAAATGACAAAGCACTTTAGGAGGAAAGGCTTGGCCGCAAAGAGCCTGCCAACAAGCCAGTTTATACTTGTTGCTGAGGCACAATAAAGTAGTCTACCTGAGCAGAAGAAGGTTTTAAGAGCTTAAGAACAAGGTCATTCAAAAAGACTTTGAGACAGGAATGAGTAGAACCTTCTTGCTCTACCTTGCTTTCCTTCGAGAATTAGCTTCCTGGGAAAAAAGGTTTCTGAGACAGGGCAGAAACGACAAGCACAAGTTAAGCAAGATTTCCTCCAGAGGTTTTCAGGCGACTGGGTTTATTTCTAAACTAAGGGTTTACAGGCTAGAATAAACTCAGTGACGTCAGACGATGTTTTTTTTTTCTTTAGTTTATTCTTTATATGTTGGAAAGTCACCATGTAAAACAGAATACCTCTTATATTCTGTGTTGTTTCTCAACTCATTCTAAAAGCTACATTACTCAGAAACACTCTCTAGCCAATTCTCTGCCAAACTCTTGCAGTCCTGTACAGCTTAGAAAAAAGTATAAGCCTTCTATTAGGTGCTAAAAATTGATAAATTAAGGCTGTTTTGGATGAGTAGAAGCAAGTTCCAAAGTTCATATAAAATAAATCTACCAACTGTCCCTCCTCCTCCGTAGGGGCAGAGCACAGCTCTGAATGTTAGTAGGGTAATGAAGGAAAGGAAAAGCAGTAGTATTTCAAATGCAGATCATTTATAGATTTATAAGTTATTAATTTCAGTTATTCATAGTACTTTGTAAGTTATTGTTGTTGCAAAAAGGAAATATTATTCCAATGCTGGATTTAAGCAATTACTCTATGGGTATTTCAGACATTGAGATATCAGTAAGTTAAGTTCATTCTTGACTGTGCAGCTAGAATATTTGCTAGTTGGCAAGGCCAAACAGACTGGTAAATTCCCCCAGCATTTGTTAGCAGGATTTTTTTGCAAGAGGGGTGTGGATTCTTCGTTAAATAATCTTTTCAGATGCCTCTCAGTAGTTATTAAAGAGAAAATGCTAATTATTTACTACCTGAGAAAATCATATCATAAATTGATGTTTTAAATCCTTTTGCCTGCAGATATGACAGTTCTGCTGGCACATCTTCAAAAGTGGAAGAAATGGCAACAGTAAGTAGCTTACAAACTTTATTGTCATCTATGTTTAAAGCACAGAATTTTTGAAAACTGGACCCCTTTTTTAGGCTGTTGATATAATGTCTATTTAAATTGTATTCTTGTAGTTCTTATTTTAAATGCTGAATAAAACATCTGTGTTGTGAACCTGTGGGACTGAGTAGGGGGAACTTGCCCTATTAACTATATGCGTCTACGGGTAGCTCTGATCAGATTTCAATTCTCTCTTAATGATGAAATTACTGAATGGATAATTTCATAGGCCAAAATCATAACATTTTGGCAATTGCAACCAACGTACAAACAGGTCAAAACTCACTTTGAAAAAATAATGTATTTACTTTTTTTTCTTCATTTATAAAAGGGTGAAAAAGAGCAGCAGACTTGGGCAGGTAGTAATCTAGAGCCTGCTCCTGCAGCAGTTCCATGCTCAAATTCCCCTGCAATGTAAAATTTAACAGTATCACACAATGGTTGAGGTTGAAAGGGACCTCTGGAGATCATCTAGTCCAACCGCTCTGCGCATGTACGGTCACCTAGAACATGTTGCACAGAATTTTATCCAGACAGCTTTTGAATATCTCCAGGGAAGGAGACTCCACTACCTCTCTGGGCAACCTGTGCCGGTGCTCAGTCGCCCTCACAGCACAGAATTTTCTCCTCATGGTCAGGTGGAACTGCCTGTGTTTCAGTTGGTGCCCGTTGCCTCTCGTCCTGTCACTGGGCACCACGGACAAGAGTCTGGCCCCATCCTCTTGACACCCTCCCTTCAGATACTTACATGCATTGATGGAATCCCCCCTTGAGCCTTCTCTTCTCCAGGCTGAACAGCCCCAGCTCCCTCAGCCTTTCTTCAGAGGAGAGGGGCTCCAGTCCCCTCATCATCCTGGCAGCCCTCCGCTGGACTCTCTCCAGGAGTGCCATTGTCTCTCTTGTACTGGGGAGCCCAGCACTGGACACAGCACTCCAGGTGAGGTCTCCCCAGGGCTGAGGAGAGGGGCAGGATCCCCTCCCTCCACCTGCTGGCAACACTCTGCCTAATGCAGCCCAGCAGACCACTGGCCTTCTTGGCCACCAGGGCTCATTGCTGCCTCATGCTCAACCTGTTGTCCACCAGGACTCCCAGGTCCTGCTCTGCAGAGCGGCTTGCCAGCAGGTCAACCCCCAGCCTGTCCTGGTGCATGGGGTTATTCCTCCCGAGGGGCACCCAGTTTAGTATCCTCAGCACACTTGCTGAGGGTGCACTCTGTGCCTTCCTCCAGGTCATTGATGAATACGTTGAACAAGACTGGACCCAGGACTGCCCCCTGGGGGACACCGCTAGCTCCAGGCCTCCAAGTGGACTCTGTGCCACTGACCACAACCCTCGGAGCTGTGCCCTCCAGCCAGTTCTGAATGCACCTCCCTGTCCACTCATCCAGCCCGTGCTTCCTGAGCTTGCCTAGGAGGATGTGGTGGGAGAGAGTGTGAAAAGGCTTGCTGAAGTCCAGGGAGACAACATCCACTGCTCTGCCCTCATCTCCGCAGCCTGTCCTTCCAGCAGAGAAGGCTCTCAATCAGATTGGTCAAGGATGATTTCCGTTTGGTGAATCCATGCTGACTACTGCGGATCACCTTCTTGTCCTCCAGATGCGTAGTGAGGAGCTGCAGGAGGAGCTGTTCCATGACCTTTGCAGGGGTGGAGGTGAGGCTGACAGGCCTGTAGTTTCCTGGCTCCTCCTTCTTGCCCTTTTGGAAGGCTGGGGTGACACTGGCTTTCTTCCAGTCCTCCGGCACCTCTCATGATCTCCGTGAATCTCCGTGACCTTTCAAAGATGATGGAGAGTGGCCCTTCCCCCTTCAGTAGCAGGCCCACGTTTTCCCTAGTGTTCCTTTTGTTGCTGGTGTATTTAAAGAAGCCCTTCTTGTTGTCCTTGACATCCCTTGCCAGATTAAACTCCAAATGGGCCTTGGGCAGTAGGAAATTATTTTTTTGGCTGAATGTTCTGTATTATAAGTACCCACTTAATTCAAGCATAAAACAACACGTTTCTGATGTAATTCAAAGGTAGTCTCTTGAAAAAACAAATTTCCTCCAAGGGTGATATATGTTATTTTCTTAATTACTTTATTGCCCTATATGGCTAGCAACGTCTTTTGTCCTCTTCTATTGTATGGTCTAACCACAGAGGGGACTAAGAAGGTGTACAGTATATAATCAGAGGTATAGAGAAGGTAAATTGGCCACCTTCCTTCTCTCATACTTCAAAAACAAAGGAATAATCTATATTAATGTATGACTGAGACAGGATCTGATCAGGATTCAGAGTCAGTTGGACTATTATATAAGTATTAAGAAAAACGAGAGCTAAAGTAGTCAGGGTTTGTTCTTAAAAAAGAGGGGAAAAGGTTCTGAGCTATCATAAATCAGCAGAGTTCAGCAGTTACCTGCATATCTACCATGTGAGAATGTGACCTAAGGGAAATATGGATGGGATATGAACCTCTATATCTTAGCACATAAGCTAAACTCAGACTGATGGAGAATAGGAAGACATTTTCTCCACTGATAAGGTAATTTATTTCAGTCCTTCAAGGTGCTATCTTACTTCCCATCATGAAGCTGTCTTTTCAGTGTTTTTCAGGAGTCCCTAGGTTAGGACTTGGAGAAAATGGCCCAAATGGTCATTTGTGATACCAATCAGAAATTAGTAACCTTTTGAAATCAGTGGATACATGCAAACATAATTTTAATTTTTAATTTTTTGCTGCTTTACAAAAAAAATTTATGTAATCAAACCAACGCTAATGAGCCTTAGCTGTAATACTTAAACAGTCTAATTGATTAGCTGTGAAAAGATAAAATGTTACAATCTGAAAATCAGCTGTGCTATTTGATTATTAATCTCTGTTGCAAGGTCAGTGTGAATTTTAAAATGTGCTGATGAAGGAAGAAGTGATTAGGAAAAATTAAGAGCTACTATGTGATAAGGATGCATATGGAGGAAAAAGGGTAACTACGCCCATTATTATAAGCTCATTATAATTAATGCATCTAAAACATGCTAGAATATGAGTACAAGATGAGCGTATCTCCTTATACATCAGTAAGAGCCTCTAAAATGCATGCAGTTTTACAAATCCTTAGTTACAGATCTTAATAATACATTACTTAATTTTAAAAAGAATTTTGGACCCGCAAAATGTGTACTGACCTCCGTGATTTTTATTGTGTGAAACTAAAATATGTTATCTTCAACTTTTTAACAGGCTGAAATATGTAATTCCCCAATATCAACTGAACCAAGTGGTCATTCTTCTGATGCGAACCAAGATGAATTGATGGAAAAAAGTACACAAGAGTGGAACGAACAGCTAGAGAAAGAGTTCTTCCGTGGTAAGTCTGTGTACTTACTCTGTTCTGATAGTATCGTTACCAGCAGTGACTGTGGCATCTGGTGTCAGAGAGAATTTTCTGCAAAAGCACAGACTGTAAAGATGTGGCTCATTACTTTCTAGTGCAGCGGCTACTTTTTTCTGACTTTGTCTGTCTACTGTGACCTTGAGTTTAAAAGGCTTTATGGCCTTCAGTTACCTTTGTGGGAGCCCCCATAGAGTCTAGTAGTACGTTGCTGGTTCATTTTTTCTTACTACTTGGAAGCAAGACAAGATCAGACTCAGATCATGGGTGTACAGAGATGTTCTTCCATAACCTTTTACAGCTCTATGCAAAAGCCTGACCATGAACATTGCTTCCTACCACCCAAAATTACAACAAGAGATCACAATTGGGATTGAAAGCTTGATCAGGAAGCAGTGGGAGAGTCAGCCGTGCTATAAGAGGAGAGCACTGCATGGTGAATTGTGGTTCCTCTGGAACGCATGTGCCCCTCGCTTTTGGGTGTCAGTCATAACTGTGCACACGCTTTCCT